GGGGGGGTTGGGGGAATCGACATTAAAAATTGAGTATTATATAAATCTTTACTTACCTTTAATATTTTGGGGTGCTCTGAGAAATGGCAAGTGGATTAGTGGCGTGATGTCTTTAAAAAAGTAACGTTGAGCTGGAGTCCGGGTAGAGAAAGTCGTTGATGCTCACCCACTACGCATCATTTTTCTGCATTAGAAGGTACTTGCAAATTGTAATACTCTGTCTGCGTCTGGAAACTACTATTATTATGGATGGATAAAGTGAAGATATTAATGGTACCTTTTTGTTGTTGAATACCTCATTTTTTACAAAAATATGTTTTCAAGGTCTTCGTAGTGTCAAGACATACGTCTCCAATTGTTTTTGGCTAGACAATTTCTTAGCTCCACTTGATGTGTCGAAATGGGAAAATTCGATTGGCTCAAGTTTTGTTCGTTTCTGGTATACATCTGAGTTCTGGAATATTAGAGCTGTTTTTTATTTGGAGGTAATTACACTCGGATACCAATATTTATTTATTTATATATTTCTATCAAATGGCAGGCGTTTTGATAGTTATCATTAGCCTTTAGCTGACTTCGGGCTTCACAGAGGGGAAGGAACATCAAAGTGTGACAAATTCGAGAGGGGGAACAAAAGAGTGATTCACGGATGTAATAGAGACAGACAGACAGACAGACAGACACAAAGGCAGAAAAAGTAAGATGAGTACTGTGGAAGGGGTCAAATGTGACACAGTGGGGTGATGGTAGTTTGAAGTCAGAAGTCAACTGCCTGTTAATAGACCTTTTTGCCTTATGAGTAAACGTTGCCCAGGGTGCACCAATGGGTTTCGAACCCGTATTATCTGATATACCAAATTGTGCACGGATACATAGCAATGACGTAGCTTTCCTCAATTACGAATTTTCTTTTTTCTGGTATTAGTTCTTGTTGGATTAAGGTCGTTAATTAATTACAAGGTTACGAAGGTATTCTTAAAAAACAATAAAAGTACACTCATGGTGCTAGTAAGTACGGTTATCTTCATTTGCCGTCATTCAGGCTTCTACTATGATTAATTAAATACACCACATTCTCTCTTCTCGCAGTTATAGAAGTGAAAACACAAGCATGGCAAGTAAAGTTGCTGTCATTGATCCGTCTAAAGAACGTTCGCTTGGAACCACTTATTTCCGTACCCATAATATGGTTAGCCATTTGAAATACATGCTACCCTTGTGAAGATGGGGAGATAACGCGTTGAGTATTTGCTGATTTATGATATAAGCTGATTTGTAAGCAAAATTGCTAAATATTTTATAGGTGTAAAAGTCTACGACGACTGTTTGAAAGCAGCTATATTTGACTTTTCAAATCGAGATTTTTGATTCCCATCAGAAATATTTATTTATTTCAAATGGCAGGCATTTTGATAGTAATCATTAGCCTTTTAGCTGACTTCGGGGTTCACATAGAGGAGGAGGCATATCAAAGTCGAGAGGGGGAACGGTAAAGTGATCCACGGATTTAAAGGAGACATGCAGACTTGAAGACAGAGAAAAGGCAAGATGACTATTGTGGAAGTGGTAGACTATGACATACAGTGGATACATTGCTGTTCAAAGTCAGAAGTTAACTGCCAGTTAATAGACTTTTTGCCATATGAATATACCGTTGCCCAGGGTGCACCACGTGGAGGTAAGTCTATCGCACACCCCCCCCCCCATCAAAGATATATTTCTCCCTTGAGAGCTAAAGTCAAACTTATAATTGAAGGGGGAGGGGTGGGGGCGTTCGAGTGAGGTCAATAAGAGAAGTGTTGATTCATTAAACTCGCGTGCAGTAGAAGTTTCGTGAAATCGCTCTCATGAGAAATTCGCATTTTGCCAGCCCTTTCATTGGCTAGAATTAATCTATTCACCCGTGAATATCCACTTCACTGATTATGCCTAGATGAACATCTCGCTTTCTCTCGTTTTTCTGACTTGGCAGACGCGCCCTTTCAAAAATTCTCGCCGTTTGACCATTTTACTAAATAGATTGGTCTTTCTTTGTTTATTGTTCCCTGCATACCAGCTCTCTAGTGGTGGCTCGTTTACACTCCATGCATGAACTTATCCACAAACGCTGGTCTTGAATCCTTTAAATATGGCTTTGGAACACAGAATTAACTGCTTATATTTCAAGCACAACTAATTAGGAATCTTCAGAAATAAGGAATATGAAATGTTGAGTTATGGTTTTTCAAAGTAAATATTAATTCGTGGTGTGTTTGCGCCGATTTATTTGAGTTCAACTAGTCTGATTATTTGATTTTGAACAGCAATACAATGATATGCGGCGATATAACTCCAAAATCCTCTTTGGAATATGTTTTTTCCTTAATTGAATTAATATAATCACCTGATTGTCGTCTAAAAATAAGCAGGGTGGTTAGAAAAGTGTCCCATTATTTTAATACCTAAATAATGTTATTACTGATTAGCCACTTCAATGGAAGTAGGAGAACACGCTGAACATTGAATTATACCTAACCTATCCTTTGTTTGCGGTTCGTTCAACTCCTTCTCGATCTTGAAGGTGCTTGGTGTTTTCCCTTCCATTGGAACACCACCGCCACTGCACTCCCACATCCTTTCGAAACTCATATTGCGTTCCAATGACTTGAAATATTTTTTTTATTTTTATGAACGTCTAGAAATATCTGTGTGTGTAAGGAGTTACCATTTGATTAATATATATTACATGCAAGCTTAAAACTCATGGAGTAGGGATTCGAGTTTTTCAAGTGTTATTTTCTCCTTAATCTTGACGCTTAATCAATAATAATAATATTATGCGCTCTACTGAGTCGATTAGTGTTTCCTTTTTATTATTTGTTTTTGCAAATAGTAAAAAGAAGTCATTTAATGCATAACCAGTATTTAGTGTTTATTTGCCCATGTTTAAGGTGGTTTATTTTCATCATTATGATTTAAAATTAAGAAAAAAACCTTCTAATCTTGACTGGTGACAGCAAATTAGATCTTTCTTGATATACGTCTGGTGAATTTGTTGTTTACTGCTATTTCCTGTTGATATCACAAATAAAGATGTGCTCTTGGTTTTTACAGCCCTAGCTCCTTTCATCTTGTCATCCGTTGTGTTAAGTAAACGGGGTTTTCGTTTACTCTAGTACACTGGTCCGATAGCGGTGCTGTTGGTCCAAGAGGTAGGTGATTACATTTTAATTTGTTCAATCGCAACGTTCCACTTGCTCCGTGAGAAAACATAAGCTGTTTTACCTTCCAACTTCTACACGATTTGGAACGATATGCCCACTAAGTTCAATGCTTATTAGCTAATGTAACTGTGCGTAACCACTACGGTGTGCCTAATCATTCTTTGAGGTATACTATGACTGTAATTAAGATGGAAGGTAGCTTATCGTCTCTCTCTTACCATAGGTCTCATACTCTCTCATTCCCCTATTAACTGATGTGATTAACCGTCCATGTTCTGCACATACACCGATGATTCTTTGAATTTCTAGTTAACTAATACGCCAAATTACCTTGTTTCCGCCATGTAAATGCATGTTTGTACGTTGTATTCAAGGATACAATTTTGTGATTTCTCTATTCCGGCGTTATGAATATTAGTGAATAAAAGGAGGGGGGAGGGCTAAGATGCTTTTGAAGAGGTGTTTACAGTGCCTAGTTTAGGTAGAGGAAAGGTGTTATCTGATTGCATTGAAAGAAATTTCTATCCTACAGTCTCTGTTTTCAAGCAAAATGGGCCAGATTGAGTGGCTACTAACATCGACTTTGTTAAATACATCATCGGCGCACAGTATTATGTAATCAATGTTGTCAACTCCCGTATCATTATGTTTTACAGGATTCTCCTTCTCCTGCGTCTACTTCAATATCTTTACAGTAGTCGGTCGATGTTTCCGCAAGCACTTGGGTCTGGCTAACGGTCTGAGTGTAGCGGGTGTTTCTGTAGGCCAAATGGCTTTCCCCAGCCTTGTGACTCACGTGCTGCAACACTACGGAGTGCGCTCTGGCACACTCATCATGTCAGCCTTCTCCCTACATCTCTGCGTCACTGCAGCCCTCATGCCACGATATGTTGTGGAAGCGGAATTGACAGATCAAGATATTGCCATCAGTTCCTCATCCATCTCCAGGCGAACTGGTGAGCCCTCGTCGAGTGCTCTTCCCAGTCCTGCCGGTGAAACCTCATCGGATATTGACGTGAGGGAGCTTGATGCCATGTTGAGACAGAAAGGGTATGCACGATAAAGCACTATTTTCTTATTTTAAAAATCATAATTTTGTTAGTTGGGTGGGGGGGGGGGGGGGGGGTGGGAATGTGGTCTTGTGCGTATTCCTCTTGAAGAATAATGATATATTATTGGAAAATTGACATGTTGTCATGGCTATGGGGTTAGGAAACTGGAAATAGTATCAACCAGTGTAACTGATCTTTTCCATCGCTGTTTGTAAATGCGTGTTTTCGAATTGCTTTAGTATTACCACCCTCGGTGTGTTTGAAAGGTATATTTTTGCCTTCTCTAAAACACCTGTCCAGGTCAGCACCAGTGATCCCAAATTATCTTTGGATTCGTGTTGGTTGGCTATCGGTAACAGAACAGTGGCCTAAATTAGATTTGAATAATATTCCGTTTCAACCACGCGTAGGCCTTATCACCAATCATCAATATGTTCAAAGTATGTGGGCCAGTTTGAGGTCACGGTCAGTAGCAGAACGTTGCGTTCTTGCATTAGGAAAAGTCGAGGCTATTCCTTCATTTCACTGTTTTAAAATTCAATTATGACTCTTATTATTTTCATCTATTGGCTATATAATTGAGGGAACAATTATATTTAGGTTTTTTTCCCGTGTAAACCTTTAATTATCTACAGCAAATGTGTCTTACTTTTTGGCACCAATTCTTTTTGAATTGATTTACAGCTAGATGTTTAGGACCTGCACTTGGGTGTTTTAGAAGTCTCCCAAGGTGAAGATAGTCTTTTGGGGGGGCTATGTAAGGTCAACTAAAGGCTAGGAAAGATGGTCCAAACTGCAGATTTATTTGCGTGCCAAGTTATGAATCAAGAAATCCTTGTTGATTTTTCTTCCTGAATTTTGCTGTTATTCCCTCCCCCTCCCCACTCCCCCACCTATGCAGCCCTAATTTCTCTTTTTTTGTTGATGCAAGGAGATTTCGGGGAAAGAAAATGTGCGGAACCCTGGCCTTGAACGCTTTCTGTTGGCTGCAAAGATCGAATTTTAACGTTTGTGCAAGCGTGTACAGGGGTGGTAGTTTTTCGTTTTTGTCATATAAGTGTGTGGAACAAAGTATCAAAGGATGATAAGAGTTGCTTAAAATCGAGTTAGCTTATGGTTCGTTGTGATGAGTCATTGCCTCACTTTTTTTCTTGAATTTCCTTGTAATATTTATTCCGCCAATCCAATAATGATTTATGTGCAGTGTATTGAATTTTTTGTGTATTTGATTTCCTTCTTCAATCTATGTGCTTCTATTAGTTTGTGTGAGTAATTTTCAAGTAGTTTCCAGTGTTGTCAACAAACAGGAAACACTTTCCACTGCCAGTTGTGGTGATTCAAGGTGTTCAAACACTTATAGAAAGTCTGCACTACCACAGTTCCCATCCTATGCCTCGTGACATCTCTAAATTTGACCTTAGACCATTGTTAAAGACCAATAGTCTCTCGTTTTATTCGATGTTCCATTCCCACATACGCGTTGTCTGACACTTTACGAACTCTAGTGAGGATTCCAACCATTTATTTATTTATATCAAATGGCAGGCGTTTTGATGGTTATCATTTGTCCTTTAGTTGACTTCAGGCTTCACAGAGGGGAAGCAACATCAAAGTGAAAAGGGTCGAGAGGGGGGGGGGCAGAAGAGTGTTTTAAAGACGAAGGTAAAAAAAGGTGAGGTGAGTACTGTGGGAGTAGTCGAATATGGCATAGAATGAGGTGATGGTATTTTGAAGCCAGAAGTCAACTGCCCATTGATAGATTTTTTTGCCGTATGAGTATACGTTGCCCAGGGTGCACCACGTGGAGGTAAGTCTGTCGCACACCCCGGATTCCAACCATAGAACTCCGTAGCGTTTTGATGAAGAGTATTGGCATAATAATAGGTATTTAAAGTAATTATTAATTGAGTATAGTAAAAGAACACTTGCTATAACCCATGCACATGTTAAATCACTTCTATCTGTGCCTGCTTATAGTGCACATGAATTATTAGTACATTTGCATATTTTAATTTAGAATCCATATTTTCTACGTTTTGTTTGTCTTTAAAAGCTCATAAATGAGCTGTCTCCAAATTCAAATTTCAACTTGAATTTTCATGGTAATCTTACTTCTCAAGGTATATTAAAACGTCATTCGAGACTAAATCATCAATTATGGTTTTTTCTACTCAATTAATTCTGTATCTTGCGTACATTCTAGCGTGAAATATTGTGATATAATCGAGAGCTTGTTTATTGACTTAATGTGAAAGCTTCGAGTTTCGAATTCAGAGCTTTTTAAACAGTAGAATAAAAAAAGGATTGATGTAAGCTTAAAAGACGACGAGACATTGTGATACACTTGATGCAAACCATTGCTCACATGTATAAACACTTTGCCTTTCTGCACATGGCTTACAACATCCGATTTCTCGCTGTCACATTAATTTACATTCACATTTAGTCGGCTTTTTTGTGTACAAATATGTTTTTTTTGCTCTTTTCATCTAATCGAAGTATCGACATAAGCATTGCTACTATTTGCGATATTATGCTTGTGAAGGACACCAAGAAATATGGGGGGAAAGTTGGAATTACGTTGGAAATAAGCTCAAATATTGTCTACCCAGTCGAAATTTAGTTATTTCAAATGACAGGCGTTTTAATACTTATCATTAGCCCTTTAACTGACTTCGGGCTTCACAGAGAGGAGGAGGAACGTCAGAGTGAGGAAAGTGAAAGGGGGGGGGGAACAGGAGAGTGATTCAAATATGTAAAAGAGACAGTCAGACACGAAAACAGAGAAAAGGTAAGATCAGTACTGTGGAAGTGGTAGAATATGACATACAGTGGGGTGATGGT